CGAAGCTACATCAACAGTGACAGCGCCGCCGACGACATCATCTAGACTCTACTCCAGCTGCACTGTTCAGCTCGTTCCGTCCGCCATCAAGATCGAACACCGGGCTGTTCCGACGCTCTCTACGTTCGCTGCTCTTTCACACGGTCAACATGGTCGCCATCCCTCGAGTGGCTGCTGCGCGCTCGTTGGCGCGACAGCTGGCCAGGCACAACATTCGAGTCAGTGGCATCTCTGCCACTCCTTTGCGCATCGCCGTGGCTGCGGTGCCAACCGCATCGTCGAGCCGCGCGCCAAGCTCTTTCCGCAACTTTAGCATCTCCACCCGCCGCAGTGCAGCCGCAGCAGCTGCCGTCAAGGCGCCACCAGCACAAGATGCCGCAGCACAGTCCGCGCACGATGGATCGCATCAGCCAACATCAGAACTCACCGAGACCGACTTGAGCCGCCTCGTTCGCCAGCGCAACGTTGGTATCTCGGCACACATCGACAGCGGCAAGACCACCTTGACCGAGCGCGTCCTCTTCTACACCGGAAGGATCAAGGACATCCACGAAGTGCGAGGACGTGATGCCGTTGGCGCCAAGATGGACCACATGGAGCTCGAGCGTGAGAAGGGTATCACCATTCAGAGTGCTGCAACCTACTGCAGCTGGAAGGCCACCCCGCCGACAGAAAAGTCGAGCGTCAGCGGTGACGCCGCCGACATCGAGTCTAAGGACCTCATGGCCAAGAAGGAGGACTTCCACATCAACATCATCGACACGCCCGGTCACGTCGACTTTACCATCGAGGTTGAGCGTGCGCTTCGTGTGCTCGACGGTGCCGTTCTTGTGCTCTGCGCCGTCTCCGGCGTGCAGTCCCAGACCATCACCGTCGACAGGCAGATGCGCCGATACTCGGTGCCTCGCATCAGCTTCATCAACAAGATGGACCGTGCCGGCTCCAACCCATGGCGAGTCATCGGCCAGATCCGCAACAAGCTCAAGATGCCCGCTGCTGCCGTCCAGGTCCCCATCGGTGCCGAGGACGACTTCATCGGCCTCATCGACCTCATCCGATGGAAGGCCGTCTACAACGAGGGCCACAAGGGTATCGAGATCCGCGAGACCGACGAGATTCCCGCAGGGTACCTCGAGCTGGCCAAGGAGAAGCGCGCCGAGCTCATCGAGCAGCTCGCCGAAGTCGACGACGAAATGACCGAGATCTTCATCGAGGAGCGCGAGCCCACCATCGAAGAGCTCGCTGCTGCCATCCGCCGCACCACCACCCGATGCCAGTTCTCGCCCGTCTTCCTCGGCTCGGCCATCAAAAACAAGGGTGTCCAGGCCATGCTCGACGGTGTGTGCGCGTACCTGCCCAACCCGGCCGAGGTGCCCGCTACCGCCATGGACATGAGCGCCTCTGCCACCAAGAAGGCTGCCGAGGAGGCGGCCAAGGCGGCTGGCGAGGACGAGGAGGCTGCCGCCGAGGCCCGCAGGAACGCCGCACCACCCGTGCTGCCGCTTTCGCCTGCTTCCGAGGCACCGCTGGTCGGTCTCGCCTTCAAGCTCGAGGAGGGCAAGTACGGTCAGCTCACCTACATGCGCGTCTATCAGGGCACGCTCAAGCGCGGCAACCTCATCTTCAACGCACGCACGGGCAAGAAGGTCAAGGTGCCGCGTCTGGTGCGCATGCACTCGAACGACATGGAGGACGTCGAAGAGATCGGAGCCGGCGAGATTTGCGCCATGTTCGGTGTCGAGTGCTCGTCCGGCGACACCTTCACCGACGGCACTACGCAGCTGAGCATGACGAGCATGTTCGTGCCCGAGCCCGTCATCTCGCTCGCCATCACGCCCGAGGGCAAGGAGTCGCAGAACTTCTCGCGTGCGCTCAACCGTTTCCAGAAGGAGGACCCCACCTTCCGCGTGCACGTCGACAAGGAGTCGAACGAAACCATCATTTCGGGCATGGGCGAGCTTCATCTCGAGATTTACGTCGAGCGCATGCGCCGCGAGTACAACGTGCCGTGCACCACTGGCAAGCCGCGCGTCGCTTTCCGCGAGACAGTCGAAAAGAAGGCCACGTTCGCTTACACGCACAAGAAGCAGACGGGTGGTGCGGGTCAGTTCGGTCGTGTCATGGGCTACATCGAGCCCATGGAGGTGGACCCCGAGACGGGCGTCGACACGGCCTTCGAGAACCGCGTGGTTGGTGGATCCATCCCCAACGGCTACATCGCTGCTTGCGAAAAGGGATTCTACGATGCGCTCGAGAAGGGTGCGCTGTCGGGCCACGCTGTCACGGGTGTTCGCTTCGTTCTTGAGGACGGCGCGGCGCACAGTGTCGATTCGTCCGAGCTTGCCTTCCGACTCGCCACTGCCGGCGCGTTCCGCGAGGCGTACCAGAAGGCGAACCCTGTGATCCTGGAACCCAAGATGACCGTCGAGGTGGTGGCACCCATTGAGTTCCAGGGTGCGGTCATCGGCGCGCTCAACCAGAGGAAGGGCACCATCTCGGACACCGAGGTGCGCGAAGACGAGTTTACGCTCACCGCCGAGGTGTCGCTCAACGACATGTTTGGCTACAGCTCGCAGCTGCGTGGTCTCACCCAGGGCAAGGGTGAGTTCTCGATGGAGTACAAGTGCCACACGCCCGTCATGATGAACATCCAGAAGGAGATGCAGGAGGCCTACCGCAAGAAGCAGACCGAGAAGAAGTAGCCGCGTTGCCGTTTTTGTTTCTGTACGACTTTGATAGACAAGATTGGATTTCACCCACACCACAACTCTGCATGCAATTCCGTCGCACTGACGCCCGTATGAGCCGCGTGTCTCGTCGACTTCTTGTGACTCACTCGAACACAGATGAAGGCGAACGACCGGTCAAGTGAGTGTAGACCGTCTCGTCGCATTGTATAAGAAAGCAGGTGCCATAAGGGTTCTGGCGTGGTATCAAAGAAAAGAGGAACATAAATAGGCGGCCAGGTATGCAGAAGTATGAAGCTAGTGCGAGAGGGGCATGCGCGAATGCAAGTGTCCGTTGCGGGATGCGGAAAGCTTTTTGGAGCGCCTGTCTAGGCTACGGCTGCGGCTGGGTTGGGACCGGGATACTTGGAGGCTGGATTCGTGCATCCGTCCGGGTACAGGCGGTTTCGGGGCCAGTCCTGTTGGTATCCGCCCTGCGCTGCGGTGCCGCCCCAGATGGTGAGGTTGGGGTTTGTGTAAGCCTCGATGTGGCGGTTGATGTATGCCTGCGTTGGGAAGTCTTCGGGATCGCAACCGATGTTGATCTGACCCTTGGGCTGGTAGACGCGCACGTAGTCGATGAGCATCTTGCCGGGGAACTCGAGGTTGGCCCAATCGATGAATCCGAAGCCGGACGAGATGGCGAGGTTGATGAGGATGTACATGGGTTCTTGCGGCACCGGCCTTCGGCTGATGCCCACGCGGTCATCGGCAGCCAGCGCGCCGGAAGAGAGCGACCAGGATCGCTGGCCGTCCGAGATCCAGTGGATGTAGCCGTCGAACCCGGCCTTGTACTCGAAGCCGTAGACGGAAAAGTCGCCGCCACTGTACTGGTAGGCGGTCTGGCGAGTGTTGACCACGCCACTCGCCGATTGCTGCAGCACGTTGCCTTGGTACGAGTTGAGCTGCGCGGAAGGCTGGAAGAACTCGTATTCTGTGCCGGTGGTGTTGATGAGCTCGTAGCCGTAGTTGGCAGGCATCCACTGGCCAGACTGCGACACACCGCCGATGCCATTGGAAACCTGAGCCTCGATGATGTCGATCTCGGGCGCGGATCTTCCGACAAAGTTGCCGCTCGAATCCTTCGGACCAGGGTGATCTTCACCGGGACACGTGCATGCCGATAGACGCTGTCCTGGCTGCCAGCTGATAGAGGTGGTGTCGTACTTGTTGTTGAAGACGGTGTCACCACTTCGGAGCGCACCGATTGGACCAAGGCCGTCGGGGTCAGTCTGGTTGCGCAGCGTGCCGCGGTCGCAGGCGTCGTAGGCGTACGGCCACGTCCCCTGTGTGGTGGCGCCGTAGTTGGCGCGTCCGAGGTTGCCCATGGTCCACACGGCGGGCCACCACCCGGACACGCTGCTGCTGCCGGGCAGCTGGATGCGCGTCTCGATGTAGCCGCCGGTGAAGCAGAACTGGTTCCACGAGGTAAGCTGGCCGCTACGGAAGTTGAGGTTGTTGGTTTCCACCTGGTCGGCGGTGATGACGAGGCTACCGTCCTTGGTGGTGACGGCTTCGGGGCTGTACCATTCGAAATCGCCGGTGGGCCACGGCCAGAGGTCGACGGCGGTCCAGAAGGGGTCGTCGCCTGGGTAGAAGGAGCGACCGTCGGTGTTGAACTCGTCGCTGAAGACGAGCTGCATCTCCTGAGAGCCGTCGACGGACATCTTTGTGAGCAGGTCTTGGGGCGTGTCTGGATCGATGAGAGCGAAGCGCATGTCGCGCATGTTGGGCACCTGTCCTGTGGCGTTGGTGCCGCCGAGATTGAAGCCGCCCTTTGTGTCGGCTTTTGGCTTTCCGGCAAAGCGGATGAGCGGGTATCCGAGGAAGAGCGTGACGATGCCTGCGATGACGAGCGACATGGTGGTAAGGTCGAGGATGACGCGCGGATCCATGTGACGCTTGACGGCGGTCTGGCTCTCGTAGTCGTGCAGCTCGTCGTTCTCGATGACAAAGTCGCTGAACGGCATGCCTTCGACGGATTTGGGAGCTTCCGAGTCTACATAGGGCGAGTCGGATGAGTGCTCGCTTGGCGAGACCTGTGGCGAGATCTGGGAGAGGGTTGTGCCGCTCTCGTGGTCACCCTTGGCCTCTGACGACGGCGACGACATGGTGCGGTAGAGTCGTCTCTAGACTTGATGGAAGGTGCAGAAGAGAAAGTGAAGAGGGGTTGGAGTTGAAAGCGCCACCCGGCAGTGGGATCCAGTGATGGCGCCGGGTCGATGCACGGTTTCCTTGATGGTGCGACGACGTAGCTTGTCCTGTCTAGACTCGTCACAGCCAGGGCAGCTCGTCTTGGGCGTTTTGAGTGATCAGCACTTTACTAGGGAGTTGTATGTGGTCGATGTAAGATGGGTGCGATAACGAGATGGGGATAGGGGGCGAGATGGTAGCAAGGAGGGATGGATGGGAAGGAACGACCCGGATCCACCTGGGATCGCCCGACTCGGAAGGGATTGGAACAATCGAGTTGGAGAGGCGTGGCTCAGGCACTGCACGGCCTTTGTTGGGAGCTGGATCGACTGCATCCGAACCAGGTCGGGAGCGGGCGATGCGAGCGGGCGCATCGACAAGCTAGAGGTGTGGAGGAGGAGGCAGCGCCTAGGCGAAGCGATTGCGAATCTGCGCTGGATTGCCGGTATCAGAAGGCGCGAAGGACTCACACTCGGCACCCACTGCTTGCATCGTCATTGGGCAGCATGCCTGCGACATTTGGACGAACCCAGCGGATGCAGGAAGGGCGGCAGGCGGGGGTCAGCAGCATCAGCTGCCTCAGCTGTCTGACTCTGCGCGTTGCAGCCGGCTGCAGGGCAGCACCATGCACGGGCAAACGTGGGCAGCCACCCATTTTGGCAACTTTCCAGCCACCGGTGTCGGGCACGAGCAGCGGCGATACAGTCGCGGCAACCGCCGAATGTCGCTTAGCGCCCGCACCCACCCCAAAAGCGCATGAGCCTGGCGACAATGACAGCCGCCGATCGGAAGCAACCGACGTTCGCTTGCCCTTGGCTACCCTGGAACGGCGTCCAACCTCTGCAGCCACGGGTAGGAATTGTCTGGGAAAATAAAAATTCGCACCCAGACCGGCCACGCGCCGACTCAAGCAGCCAACTCTAACGCCGTTGGCAGCAGCTGAAGCTTTCGGATGCGGTCCGACTGTTCCCAGCGCAGTGCAGTCTACCACAACCAAACGCCCGTTTCTCACCTCGGTTCGGATTCATCTTGGTTTGAAGTGGGCTGTGTCGCCTTTTCCGAACTGAGCCAGTTGTCGCAAGTGACAGCCCGGAGGTTCCGGTTGCGAGCTGGTTACGGTCGGTTCGAACTTTTTTGGTCCACAAGCGTGGTTGCAATGCGGAGTTTCTCTAGCGAGATTTTGACGTCAGTGCAGTAAATTTAATTTGCACCGCTCTCCCCGCCCACACCCCGGCGTGCAAGCGAACCGCCGTTGCTGCCCTCGCTCCCCGCCCATCCGCCCGCCCGCCCGCATCCGCAATTGTTGAACCGATCCAACCGATTGCAACGGTGCCTGCTTTGCCCCCCCCCC